TTCTACCTGTGGTATTGGTTCCTATTTGGGGTTGTCTACTTCATTCACAAGGAATGAAAACGATGCTGGTATTAAACAGAATTTAAACTTATATTAATTTCCTCTATTAGGCAACAGCTACATAAGTAGGAACAGGTTTTATGAATTTGTTGGGTTATTTAATTTTCTTGCCTGGTTTTGCCAAAGATACAGTAAGGATACATTATCAATGATAATATCGGTTGATTCTTATTTTTAAGGGGTAATGACTGAGACTGCTACTCCCCCTGGAGACGTTAATGATAATGGTACATGACAATTAATGATAGGCTATTATCAGATTATTTTTATAGGTGCAACACTTCTGTTCGTATAACCAATTAACTGCACAATCCGAGCTATTGCCTCATCCTGCATATACACTGATTTATTAGATTTATTATTATTACAATGTATGGGTGGGGCTGGTTACTTGAAATTATTAATAAAACTTAATTACTTGTGCTTAGTTATAAAATTAATCATGAGTGATGCCGTTACCGTACCGTCTGCTACAGACAAAGATAACAAGGACAACTGGGCAAGTCCTTTATGATCTCCTCCAGTTACCGAAAGACCAAAATCACCTCTTTATAGAGCAGATATAAAGAGTGACACACACCCTTCCTCTGGACAAATGGAGCTCTACTGAGGAGGAAGTCAGGAATACTGCCTGCTGCTAAATCGATTGTCTACTGGAAGAGTACATAGACATTATTATTATTATTTATTTATTTATTATTATAGGTTGGACGAGGCTAAATCAAGATGCTCATTAAAATCTTATCCTAAAAGAATTGTATTAATAAGACATGCTGAAGTAACTAATGTTATATATTTATTATTTTATTTGTTTTATTTATTCTTTTAATAGTCTGAGGGTAATATTGATAAATCTTTCTATGCAACTACACCTGATGCTAAACTAAAGGTTACTGATAAAGGAATAGAACAAGCTAAAGTAAAGAATGGAATTTGTTACTGTTATTATTATTATTATTATTATTATTATTATTATTATTATTATTATTGTAACAAGAAATATAACAGAATAAGGTGGACAAGAAAATATAGCAAGATAAGGCAGAACATAATATTAATAAAATAAAATGAAATAAGTCAATAGAGAGATTTCATAAGTTTAATGTTTAGTGGTGAGGATAGATAGTAATCCCCGCTCCATCCTCCAGATTAATGGTGCGAATCTTAGCTCTGGTGCCTCTCACACATAGATTATTATTATTATTATTATTATTATTATTATTATTATTATTATTATTATTATTATTATTATTATTTATTGGCCTTGCCCAGCTTTGCGTAGACGAGGACTAGGTACTGTTGTCTGTCTTTCATTCATTGTAAAAGAAA